TGGCATGGCACCATTTCTTTATTTATGATTTTTTCATTACTTAATTTACAAAGTAATTGTCTTCAAGTGATTATGACAGAGAACAAATTGCTTTAATAAATAAAATTAAATTTAAAATAAGTATCATTTATCACTTGCTTTTAAACTTTTCTCTAAAAGTATTCGGAATAAGGCAGAGAAAAGTTGGACGACGGTTTAATTTTATTATTTTATGAAAAAGGTCCATAAAACAATAAACACTACAAAATAAATGACGCAGTAAAATTTTTATGGTCACAGGTATCAAAGATAAGGGGGATCATTCATCCTAAGTAAATATTATTGTCCATAAATTGGGTATTCAAAAACAGTAAGGTGCTCTACAGTATCTATTGCCAAATATTATGATTCAAACGCACCCTAAATGTAGATGTTAAATGTAACGAGCTTTATCCAGTTTAATCTGCCAATGCATACACTGTACAGTCAGGTAAGGGATTAATGGACCTGAATTAAAGATAACCTAAAATTTATACGCCCCCATAGTTATGCACGTTAGGACCCAAGAGATTAAGTAAATATTATTGTTCGGGCGACTCCTAAACGTCCGACGGAAAAGATGATACGAAGACGGTTTCAAACCTGTTGCGACAGGAAAAGTTGGTAGATTGCATCAGCACACCTCTTTTACCAAATCTTATCATCTTTTCAACATTGAAAACTGACGTCTTAATGCCAATCAAAATAACAAATTGATGCCGTCAGTGCTCCAATCAGGGTCGTTTTCAGAAGAATTTTAAGTTCTGACATGTAACCTCGTAGGTTGTAACCGGTTTTTTTAATGTAATGTAGGCCCGAGGTGTGTTTCCATATACTTATGAAATCATGCTTTCTTTTCAGTAAGAAAAACCAAAATGTTGGGACCAATGGAAGGGATAGCACTGAACAGCAATGTGTCTAAGAACGGGAGCTCCTGGGGACAGCTTCTCTGGCACATTCTCCACGACAAACCGGAGCTGGTTCTCCGCAAGGGGGCGATGTTGTACAGTTCCGGTGAAGTTGCAGCTGCTTCGTATGGATTTGGTATTACCTCGCAGGAACTGAAGGTAAAGAAATCTGTCATTTTTTTATGCGTCTTGGGGTTAACCTTTCCTTTATACTAGTTATTGTTGGCCAGGCCTTTTGTACAACTTAGAGTGTAAGAGATTTTTTTGAAAGGGAAGAGACAACTGAAATGAATGATCTCAACCAAGGGTAATTACTAGTCCTGTCACAAAGGCTACTTCGTATCATAACGCACATTTTAAGAATATAGTTATCAACTCAACGCCTTACTGTAAAACATCAGGTCACGGCATCATCCATTTGCCGGTACAGTTCTGCATGTACTGAATCAAAATAACTAGTTTCTGCTAATATAGCATTTTCTTTGCTAGAAATTTCTAATTTTTCCATTGTTGTTATGTTTGTAGGCAATAAAAGAAGCCATGGACAGCAGCAGCCACAGAGAAACGATCCACATCCAGGGCGTCACGTATTGCGTCAAGGTCAACACCCCTAATACGTTGCTTGCCTGGAATGGCGGGAAATACCTGATCGTCTGTCGCTCAAAGCAGCTTTACCTCGTGACGCACTGCGCCTCCCGCAGCAAAAAAGATGACGCCCGAAAATGGCTGACAAGGTTTGCGTCAAAACTTGTCGAACAAAATTATTGACTCAAAGCTGAATAGATTTTATGTGGAAATTAAAATCGGAGATGAGCCCCTCTCTCCTGCCGTCGACTGAGTTTTACGACATGACGTAACATCTGTCACTGCTCCTGCACCTCGACCCGAAACCTCGCTCAGTGCTCCTGTACGCCCTGGTATTGTGCGTGCTTGGGGCCGATTGGGAATGAGTAGACCTGTAGTACATCCCCGATAGAGATGGAAAGGCGGGAAAAGACTTTCGCGTGAGTGGGAAAAACACAGAGATACCACAGTGTTGTCCCCATTGGTAGACTTTTAAACTCGAGATTGATTAAAATTTGAAAATGTAAGAGAAAAGAAGCAGCGTTTTGAGGATCAAAAATGTTTTGGCAAATGGATGAAGTGAGGCAACGTTGTTAGACTTTGGAGAGATTAATTTCAAAAATGTTTAACACTAAATCGCACTCACTGAGTGCCAATGTAAGAAATAAATTCTTTGTATTTTAATAAAATATCAAATTGAAATTAGTATTGAATTTCAAGAGTTACTTCATTTATGCCAGTAAATCAAAGAAAGGGATCATATATTTGTGTCAACTTGTGTCATCAGGAACAACACTGTCTTAAAAAGTAAGGCTTTATTTTTTAAGTAACACTTGGATGTTTTACCAATAACAAAAACGACAATAAAGGTCGCCAACAACAATGACTATAATGTAGATCGCGTAGCGATCAAGATATGACCCGTCTTATTCTTAGAATAAAATATTTCAAAGTTAAAAGATGTTAACCTCCCTTCCAATTATATTTTTCATCTTTTAAAATCGATGCAAGTTCTTTATTAAAGGGTTCGTAGAAGTCGGTTAAAATTTTTCTGGTTTCCTTTAACATTGGGATTTTATTTGGCGTCCGGTTTGAAGGAACTTTCAGTGTTATTCTTCTTTCTTCTCTCTTTGTCAATGGACCTGAAATTATTTTTCAAATCCGAGTCAGCTTATTTAATAGTTAGATTAAATGATGCATATGAATAATTTTGTGGCAAGCAATGACGTTGACAATTACCTGAAGTACCTTATGATAAGGATGTTTCCCTTCACGCAAAAATTATATGAATAATCCAAATATAACGCGCCTTTATTAAACAAATATGTTTCATAACTGGAATAATTTTTTAAAAAATATCCAATGGACAAAAAGTTTCTTACTACAAGTAGATCAAGGGCTTTAGTTCCATGTTAATTCTTTATTACCCATCTAAGCACACAAAAAATATAAGTCAAAGGTGGAGAACACGAATTATATACTCACGCAAATCTAAAAATTCAAAAACTTTTCGTAATGTGTCGAGCTGATTTTTCACGTAATCTTCGAAACGCAAAATGAGCACCTGTCGGGGAGAGAAAGCCCGGATCCAGTCAGTCACGTGCACGCTGTACATTCCAATGTTTAGTCGTGCGATCTGAAATGTACAAGAAATAGNTTAAAAAATACCCCCCCCCCCCCCCTTTTTTTTTTTTTTTTTTTTTTTTTTGTGCACTGCCAAACAGTTTGAAGGAAAACTGAGTTATCATGCTCAAACTTACAATAGTGGATAAGGTGAGTTGGAGACCCAGTCCAGTTAGTTTCTTTTTCTGGAAGTAATAATTTCCTTGAATTTTATTTATAGGCACATCAGGTCTGCACATATTCATACCCATCACCTGCATCTGTTGGCATCATACACTTTCAGATATAACACTTTAAGTGGAAAACCTTTTTATGAACAGACACAGATGTGTCTATACACGTAGCTGTCACTTGCATCCATTGTCATCAAGCACTTTCAGAGAAAACAATAAACGAAAAACCTTTCTACCTTTTGCCTTCAAAATTCTGGAAATTATGAAAATTCATAAAATACAGGAAGGATTAAAATACCAGCTTTCCAAAAGTTATGCTCTTTTTTTCACTTTTCAGCATATGTGCAATGCAGATAACGCAATAAGCACCAAAATACACGTAAAGTTCAAAAACAAGCCTTATCCAATTATTTTACTTGAAGCTTTATATATATATATATATA